TTGGGGTTTAGGGGTAAGAGTTGGAGGGTTAGGGTTGAGGGCTTATTAGGGGTTTATAGTGTTGAAGGCATTAGGGTTTACGCGTGTAAAGGGGCAGGGTTGGGGTCTCAGGGTATAAGGTTGATGCGTATGGGAGCTTGAGGCCTTCAGGGCTTCGGGTTTTGGGACCCAGCACCCCAAAGGCAAGATGGACTTGCACACAGCCCCATGAACCACCTGACTACATACTCCCCAGCCCGGATCTTGAAGCCCCAACCCAAACCAAAACAACTCTCCAAAAAACGATACCATCTTCCAAAAAATTGTGAAGCCACCCCAAAACCCAACAAGCTTTAACCCAAACCCTTGCCTTGCCCCCCCCCCCCCCCCCCGCATCCCCCTCCCATTTTAAACACTAGATCCCTAAAGCTTAAACCCTACACCACTTGCGCCCCCTCTCACTCACTGTGGCCTTCGAACATACTCCTCGCGGTTCTCGAAGGTCACTTCGATATCCTTGCCACCCTCTTTCAGCTCAGCCTGGCGGATCGTCTTGGGGCTGGCTTAGGGCTTAGGGCTCTGGGGCTACAGGGATTAGGGGGGTTTGTAGGGCCTTAGGGCTTTAGGGGTTTAGGGTTCTGTTGCAATTGCAATTCCACAGCGGGCTCTTGTCTTTTTTTGCAAGGCCGCAAGTCTTTACGAGTTCAGAATATAGGGGCCTGACCGGTTATACCGTTTGTCTGTAGGGGCGACGAAATACTACATCATCATGAACATGTTCGGGGGTGTCTTGTTCACATTCCGCAGTCGAGTAGACACATGCCCGTTGTGGCTCAGCCAATGATAAACATATAGTACCTATAGTCTCCATTGTAGTTCCTTTTTTGGTTTAACCACTTATATAAATAGGATCCCAAAAAGTAACCCCAAAAAGGAACTACAATGGAGACTATAGGCAACCTCGTACACGGGTTTCAGTCTTAGGACGGCTTTAGCATTCAGCTTTAGTACGGTCTGAAATTTTGGGGTAACCCGACACCCTAAAACCCTGAACCATCCTAAATTCTACACCCAATGCTCTAAAAACCCTCATAAGTCCTCGCCGGACCTTTTCCCCTGCAGGAACCAGTTGTCGGCTTTGATGGGCAAGGGCGCGTTCGCCACTTTTGCCCGCCTTTGGCTGCTATCCACTCCTCCGTCACCTATAGAGGGTCATACCCTACCCCTTTTTTCGGGCACCTAGTGTTATGGTTGTTAGGTGCTCTTATATAGAAAAGTAGGTAGCTTAAAAAGGGTAGGGTAGGGTATGACCCTATAGGCAAGGTCCATCTGATCAGGGCCTCATAGTTTCCGGCGCTGAGGAAGGCATCCCTTCCAGCCGTCCTGCCAGACGATGGTCCCATATCCCCAAAGCGAAAACAAGGACCTTAACCCTAAACCCTAAACCCCTAAACCCTAAACCCCAATCTTCTCGAGTCTCCCGTCTTTGCGGCAGGCTTCGAAGCGCTGTTTGTCGGAGGTCTGGATGATCTGCAGTACCTCCTGCGCGGTTATGCGATTCTCTCTAAACCGGGGCCGCTACGAGGCAAAAGGGAGATGGCGCCCAATTTCTTGGCAGCGTAAGCACATGAGTGCGCGGGACGTCCCCTAAACCCTAAACCCGTTCTATAGGGGAGTGTGAGTCTGCAGTTGCATGGCCTGCAAGGTGCACAGCCAGCAGTCAATGCAAGCGCTGCTTGCCAGTTTCGTCTCCAAAACCGAAACGGCCGTGTGTTGATCAGAAGTCGTGAGAAGACAAGCCCTACGAATCTAAGGACTCATATATTAAGGGTTTTGGGCCCAAAGACCATACTATATATTATAGGGCCTTTGGGATATTTTGATCCCTAGCAATGGAGACTGCACCTCTTACTCGGAAACCGGTTCATGTGCGGTCATCATCCCCCCAACCCGCTCACGCACCCGAACCTGGAAAAGCCAAGTAAGCGGCCAAAACCATGCATAGGCACGTAAATACCACTCCTGATAGGGTCTGTGGCGGCTTCTGGGATTTCCGCTTTCAGCGGCGCGAACTGTTTGCAATCTGCCACGAAACCCTTTATGGCCCCAAAGACCACCCTTTGACTCACATGATTCACCACCCCCCCAACCCCCCCCTTCGACACTACCCTACTTGGAATCCTGGTTGTTTTATAAGTGGTTAACATAGTTATGTTAGTTAGCTAAAAAGTTAGGTGGAGTTAGCTTATGTTATAGACATCAAAATTGTAGAAGTAACTTGTGTGTTTTGGCATTGAGGTTTAGGCTAGGGACTCTGATATGAGAAGACACTTCATGGAGCATAAACACTGGTATCGGAAATGAAATATATAAAACATGTAGCTTGTCAAACAAATTTAAAGCAAAAATACATGTCAATGGCCTGCATGGACAGGCTGTCGTGCATGGCCTATGGCTAAAAATGTCATGTGCATGTGGTACAGCCTTGTGGCGGATTGAGAAGCACTGTTTTTCAAAGCCTGTGGTACAGCTGGTACGGTAGCAGCACAGTGGCCTCCCTCTCTGTGGTCTTGCTGTACACCATTGGGTACAGCAAGGAGTCCATGGACACGAAGCCTTGCTCGTTGGTGATGGAGCACTTGGCGAACTGCTTTGTCTTCTGTGTCTCTGTTGGCCTCCAACGTTGGACGAGTGTGGCTTTGTCGCCTCCAAGCTCCAAATGGAAAAGCACTTGGCCCATGTCCCATCTTCCGTCTTCCTGGTGGAACACCACGACGTCGTTGGCATGGATGGCACCACCCCTTGCGAGCCTCGCGATAGAGGCAACCATGGCTTCAGTTGCTGAGCAATCCACAAACTGGTTGAGGAATTGCAGCTGGTGCTTGTTGGGCTTCTTTGGCTTCACCAACTGGCAGGAGTCTGGAAACAGCCCGGCCTGTGTCAAAGTGGTGATCTCGGTGGCGAGCACCTGGTTGAGCAAGTGGATCTCGAAGGCGGCTGTTTTCTGGAGCCTTGTGGCGAAAGCAGATATGGTTTTGTGCTTTCGTTCGCTCGTAAATGTCGATGGCAGGCACCCATGCCGTTGGAGAATATCAGGCAAGTGGAGCAGCCAGTGCCACTTCCGCATCAGTGGCACGTCGAAGTTGGCCTGTTGGAAGGTCTCGATGGATTCTTCCGCAGCCCTGAGAAGGCTGGCTCTGGTGGTGGCTCCATACATGACCCCTTGGTGAACCTGGTCGATCAAGCAGGCCTGGCTCAAGAAAGCTTGGCAAGCCTCTGGGCAGATTCCGCTTGACACAACAACAGAATGCAAAAAATGGCGAATGATTGGATAAAGCCCTAGGAGGTCCGAAGCTTGGCAACTGAACTTCTGGCTGCTCTTGTACTTGGCGACCTTGCTTGTGTCGAACAAACCAGCCAAGTGACCGGCCTTGGAAGCACCTGGAAAGTTCCACATCCTTATGTATGGGCCCATGGCCTCCCAAATGTTGTAGTGCTCGGAGATGGCTTGGAAGCTCTGGAACAGCACGACTGGGGCCGTTCCTTGCAGAATGCCGTGCATCCAGTCATGGCAGAACTGGCTGACTGGCTTCACTTGGTTCTTCGCCAACAAAGTCTGGTTCAGGAGCAAGGCCTGGGGATTCCAGGTCCAACCGGTGGCTTGTTGCCATTGCGAGAATTCTGCTTTGGTCCTGCACGTGGCTCGCCTTTCGTCTAATCTGCGGTAGGACTGGATGACGTCTTCATCAGTGGTCAAAACCAATTGGCTGTATTTGGTCGTGCGGTGGTCCATGATGTCGTGGTTGTCGCCTGTGGGTGGTCCTGAGTGGATGTTGGCGCATAATATGCAAAATTTGGTACCAGAATCACCTTTGGAAGACCAAATCTGCTTATGGGCACCGCCGTCTGCCAGACATATGGCCCACCGGAAATGGAGCCGGACATCGGAACCTGGGCCATGTGGGGATTTCAACACAAACCCTGCCAATGGTTCCACGTGGGCATTGGCGAAAATGGTTTCCAAGATCTTGGACATGATCTGGCAGATGCCGCCCTGGACATGGCTCACGAAGTTGGACCTTTCAAGAGAGATGGTCAGCCAGAGGTCCTCGTGGTGGAGGAATTGGTCCATCTCCCTGAAGCTGGCATAAATGGCCCAAAATTTACGTTGGGCAGGTCCTAAGACGTTTCCTGGTATCACCTCATCTGCATAAAGTATAAGTTGCCATGGCTTGGAGACGGATGATGGGTTGGCTCGGTGCTTCCTTTGGATCAGATCATGGAAGCTTCCACCCATCTGGAAAAGACTGGCCAGGTAAACCAAGAGGTTGGCAAAGTACATGGTGACTTTGGCACCATCATCGGTGGTGACCTCTGCTTCTTGGATCAAAGGACCCAGTAGCCCACCATGGCAGCTCTGTAGAAGCTCCTCCCTGGCTTTCCGCTGGTCATTGGAAGAGCTCTTCTCTGGGAGGCCTTGTTCCTTGGCGACTTCCACAAAAGCAGCCAGTGCACTTTGGGAGTGACCTGGCAAAGCAGCTTTGAAGGTCAGCAGCTGCTGCAGTTTGCTCTTCTTCTGTGGAGGTTCCATGGCCAAAAATGGCTGAGAGTGGGTTTGGGGGCAAGGGCAGTGGCAATGTGCTTTGCTTCACATGGGAATCAATGGTATGTGTGCTATATGGATGAAGGCTGCATCCCTGTCTATATAGGCTGTGGATGTCAGACTCACATGCATGGACCTCTTCGTGGGAGAAGTCTGGAACCTTCGTTGCTGAAGCGATGGCGGGCACAGTGCGTCAACAAAGACCTCGGAAGTGCATATATACACAGAAACAGCATGCTGCAGGATGGCCACGGCATGGCTTCAAAGAATCACTTTGTCCAAAGACATGCAGGCGGTCTTTTTGCTCGTGTCGGCACGGTGCACCCTGCCTGGGCTGTTGTGGCTTCTTGCTACCCTGCACCTGGGCCCCTTGGTGCTGCCCTGCAAGAAAACAAACTGCCTGGAACCATGCCTGGCACTACTTCTTGGGAGCCTTCTTCATGGCCTTGTTGGCTTTGTGGGCCTCGATGTACTCCCTCCAAGCTTGGCGGCCGTGGAGACGGGTGCCCCGAAAGTTTGGGTCCCAACAACTGGAGCATCCCTTAACATTACCACGACAGCGGATACATCCGTAGAGGATCTTTGTGCTGCCGCCTTTGGCGGCGGTGGCACCTTTGCCAGCCTCATGGCCGTTGCAGGTGGTGCCCTGGTTCGCCGAGCTTTGTCGGGTAGACATGGCTGCTGCTGGCCGCTTCATATGCTGTTTCTTGGGCTTCTGGTCGGCCTGGCCGTCCTCCTTGGCCTTCTTCTTCTTGTCGGCCTTGGCATCCAGCAGCTTCTGGAACTGCTCCTGCTCGTACTCCTGCAATGTCTTGGCGTCCTTGCAGGGTGAAATGCTGCAGAACAACCCCGAATAAGCAGTATGGAAGGAAACTAAACAAAAATATACACGTGTCCTGCTTGGCACTGTCTTCCTTGGCAGTCGTCTCCGTGGGAGCTGCTTCGACTCTGGTCGTGGCTTCAGGAGGCGGGCTTGCCGGAGGAAGTGGCAAAGCAGCGGCAGATGCTGTGCTCTGGCCAAAGACCTGGCCAGGGGCAGTTGTGCTGGCAGCACTCTGGCTGTGGGACTGGACCATGCTTCGCGGCGACAGCCAAGGCAACACTGCTGTTGCTGCGGCGGTGGGCCTGCCATGCCGCAGCTTCAGCATTTCCAGCTCCTGGTCGAAGCTTAAGGTGGAGCCCTGAGGTGTCGCTGGAGGCCGCTTGGACCTGCACCTGGTGCCGCCGGCCAATGAAGCATGGGTGCTTCGAAGAGGCACCTCGGGGACGAAGACGTAGAAATGTCTACATGCATGCAAGAAACAAATGCAACACGGAACAGATCCAAGTTATGCAACCAAGGGGCTTTCTTCAAAAATGGAGCCAGGCATGGGTCCTGCAGATCTGGCTGGTCGCCTGGACCATAGGCCTTGGAGAGCCAAAGCTGGCCCATCTCTGATGGATGGTCTGGATATCTGCTGGCGCCGGGGCAATTGCTGCTTGGCAGGGACTGGAAGATGATTCCGAAGTCCTGGACTGCCGAGTTGATGGCAGCTGCCGAAAGGCTTGGCTTGCCTTGCGAAGCTTGCACCATCAAGACAATGGCGACCGCTTGGCCCTTGGTGCATTCTTTTAAAGAATGCAGTCCCATGGCTCGGAGTCTTTTGGCTAAGAGCTCCAGCTGGTCCGTTTGGCTCGTGAGGGTGGACAAAGCGACCCAGTCTGGCCTGGTCAAGTATGGACACAGCCGCTGGACGGACTGGCCAGTGTTCACCAACTTGAGCTGGGAGCCGGTGTTCATGGACAAATTCTGGATGGTGTCCAGAATCTTTGCTTTCATGGCCTCTGGCAGTTTGGAAGCTTCGCCGGCCTTGGCAAGCATTTGGCAGATGCTCTCCGAGGACCAGGACTGGAATCCCTGGATCTTAGCCATGAAGGTGTTGGCCATGCTCTCGGTGACTGGTGAGTCTGGCAGCATCTCGGCCAGCTTCTGGAGATGAGCAATCTCCTCGACGAAGTCTTGGCACCCGTACCGCTGCATGGCCCTGAGAAGCACTGGCTGCTCACACTGGCCTGGTCGGGCTGAATGGCCTAAAAGGCTGCAATGAAGAAAGCATGGGAAACAAACACAAAGGAATGCGACTTGAAATGAAGTTCAGAGAGAGATATATATATATATAGTATAAATATGTGTTCATGGCCAGTTGGCTGCTTCGAAAAATAGGGTGCTGGCCACATGGCTCGCAAAGCATGGTATGGCCGATTGGCTTGCATGCAGATCATGGCAGAGCACTGAAAGCTTTCTTTTTGGCAGCGACCACTGTGGCAGCTGTGGTTTCACGTGGTTTGTCTGGAAGAAGCCATGGTCGTCCTTGGTCCTGGCAGGAGCAAACTGCATGGGTCATCTTTGTGAATGGACACACTGGCCTTGTGGTCACTGGAGACTTCTGTAGCGATCTGGCATGGCCGTTGGAGTGGTGGCCCCAGATCTCTCCATCTGGTCCAGTTGGTCCTGGACCCAGGCCCCGAACTTGGGCTCCCCCATGTACCTTGGGCCAAGTGGTTGGCAGGCTTTACCACTGAATGGCTTAAATGGCAACAAAAAAGATTGGGAGGTTTCCGGATCAAGCCTATGCTGCATGCTGTTATTGTTATTGTAGAATGAAAACTATGGAATCTATATCTGGTCGAGCTGCCACTGGATTTGTCTCTGGGCTCGTCCATGGTCGTCCTTGGCAATGGCTCTGGAAAGCCAAAGGCACTTCTGGCACCATGTTGGCGAACCACTGGCAGCCTCCAGTTGGGTTGCCCCGGTGGCGACTTGCTCGTTGGCCTCTTGGATGAAAACACTGGCCAGCTCTTGGGCCCTGGTCCATCTCTGGTTGTGGAGCAAGATGGCTAGCCAGCCAACCTTATGTTTCCAGCCCGTGCTCTTGGTCTTGCTGTGGCTGGTTCCTGAAATGCCTTGGCTCCACGGAACTGGCTCTGCTGGTGGTGTCTTGGGTTGTGGGATGGCCCACTTTGGTCGCAGCATGAGAGGTTTGGCTTTTGGTGCACTGGAGCTGGACCTGGCCTCTGATTGTGGCGGTGATCTTGGTGGGGTTTGGGCTCGTTGGAGCAGGTTGATCCCTCCCACTGGTGGGGTTGTTGGCGGCGGTGGTGTGGGTGGTGTCTTGGGTTGTGGGATTGGGGTTGGAGGGGTGCTGAAAGGGGTGGAAATGGTGGACTTGGCTGGGGGTGGTGTTATTGGAACCTCCTCATGCACTGTCTGTGGCCTTCGGGTGGGTGGGTATTTGAGCTTGGGTTTGGGTGTGATGGTGGTGCTGCCTGCTGGCGGTGTGATGGGTGTGGTGCCGTCTGGCGGCGGTGTGCCGGGTGTGGTGCCGTCTGGTGCCGGTGTGTTGGGTGTGGTGCTGCCTGGTGGCGGTGTCATGGCCGTGGTGCGGTGGAGTGTGTGGGAGGGGCTCTGCTGGTGTGTGGGTGGCGCTTTGGACGGCAGCTTGGGGCCCATGTCTGGGCCACATTGGGCGGTTGGTTGAAGCTGCTGTGGGGCAAAGGACACTGGGAGGCCACTGCTGGCGGGACACTGGACTGGTGGTTTGGGTGCTGTGGGTGCGGTGGCAGCATGGCAAGCGGGGATTGGCCATGTTGCGGGCGAAGTGGCGGGGGGGTGGAAGGGGATCCTTGGTAGGAGTGGATTGGTGGTGGGGAGAAGAGGCATGCACATGGGAGCTGGTGTTGGCCAGGTGCATGGTGCTATGGGTGCTGTGGATGCCATGGGCAGTGTGGCGGTGGCCTCAAGGCAGGTCTGTGCCAGTGCTGGCACAAGTGGCCTGGGCCGAGCATAGCCAGTGCATGGGTTGGGGATTGGGCATGGGTTGGGGATTGGGACGTGGAAGGGCCATGGCATTGGGGGGACGGGTTGGGCCATGGGGGGTTTGAGTTTGGGCGGAGGTTGGGCTGTGGTCTGCTCGTCGAAAGGTGTGACGGGTGATGGCGGGGCTCCTGGCGGTGTGGGGCTGGCTTCGGTGGGAGCCTCCGGGGATGGGCATCGCAGGGGGATCTGGACCGTTGGTTGCCCTGGTGGGCCTTCTTCTGGCAAGGTTGGGTCGGCCAGCTCCTCTGTGGGCACCTCGGTGGGGTGCTCGCTGGGGCTCGTTGGCAGCTCCGTCGGCGACGTGGCCATGGCTGGCACTCTGGAGGACGACTGAATTTATGTGGAAATATTTGATGATGTTTATATGGTGGCTGTTATGTATGTAAAATGGCTAGATTCAGAATTTGAATCTAAATGCGGATATCTGGTAGTAGATTCAAAATTTGAATCTAACTGCCAGAATCTGTGAATTAGATTCAGATTCTGATTCTACTGTATTTCTTACTTTGGCAGTATGGTGACATACAAAACTTCTGTCTGTGGCTTCCTACAGTGGTTCGAGCACTCTGGGCTGCTCCGAAGAGCAAAGATTCTGGCAACAACTGTGGTCACGTACCTACCTGGGCTGACAAAAGGGACGGTGTGTATGGCCAATTGGCTCCCTACAATGGTGGTGCAAACAGTCTGGCATGGCCACATGGCTCCCTACAATGGCTTGGCTTGCTGCTACGAAGCTTGGGTGTTCTTGCAGAAAGTTGGCTGTTTCAGGAGTTGGATTTGGTGGCTTTTGCTTCAGGGCCTGGCATAGGAATGGCGCTTGGAGCTCTCGGGTTTCGCAGGTTTCGGCTTTGGGGTTCATGGGTACATCGTTCTGGGTTTATATGGGGTCTGGGGTTTGGGGTCTACTGAAGTGAACCGGCACTATGGATCTCCACTTCTATTTCAGACCCTAAACCATGAAGCTTATAGACCCCTATCGGAATGGATGCTGGTCTCAAGCTTGGTGCCCCTGTTGCTGCTGCTGTGGCCGTGGCCAGCTGTCCTTCTTGGTCTTCCAGTGTGCAGCTGCTGCTTGCTCTGGTTGTGACTGCTCATGCTGCTGTTCTTCTTCTGCCTGTTTCTGTTGGTGCTGAGTATATGATACATGGCTTACAAAGATATCTTCATTACAATCAGAATCTAATATACAAACAAGTTACTCCAGACAAATCATTTCTATATATGTCTCTATATCTGTACAAAACATGTATGTGTCCTTCCATGGATGTTCACCCAAATGGTCTTCTGAACATATAGAAAAAAGCATACATCTGTGCAGATATAAATATATAACCGACAAAAAAATAACACATGTGATGGCCTTTGTGGCTTGGCATGTGACAACCTGCTGCTGGTATGGCCATGGAAGGCTTCTGGAGTTCAAGCACCCTTTTTTTGGCACGGCTTGGAGATGCTGCTGCTGGCCTGCATGGTGCAGGCTGGGTCCTTCAAAAAAACCAATGGCCTCCATACCTTTGCAGCCATGGCCGACCTGGGCCGTCTGGAGAGAGGCCCTGGTGGCATGGAAGAAAGTGGCCCATGGTGCCTGGTTGCTGGTGGTGGGTGGCCCCTCACCACCTGTAGACGAGGCCTGCTCCTCCCGCCAAGCTGGTGATCCATGGGGAATCACACTGGGTGCACTTGGCATTGTGATAGAGCTTCCAAAGAAAGATAGTGGAGCGGTGGCATACCACACACCGCAGCATTACGTGCGGCCCGATGGGCTCCTCTGGTGGAAGCATGGCACTGCTTGGGAGGGCCGTCACTGTCCCCTGTGGTGGAGGCTGGACGGGCTTGGAAGAGACGGCCGTGGAGTCCGTGGAGTCGTGCTTTGCTGCCGGCTTCTTGGCCCTGGGCTTGGTCCTGGTCGTGGCCTCCTTGGCAGCCGCTGGCTTTTTGACTCCTTTGACCATGGCGGCACTGGAGTGGAGGCTTTGGCTAGCTGTGGGCAGCTCGCTATATGGCCAAAAGAGGCTGCAGCGGAACGAAAAAGAGAGACGAACATGTGTGCCATGGCATGCCTGGCCACTTGGCTTTCAAACAACAAACTCAATGGCCTGGCATGGCCACAACGGCTCAGGCAATCGAAACTGGAGGCGTTTTTTTTGGCCGCTGGTGCACAGCTGCTGTGCTTGGGTTTCCGGCAGCCTTCGTGGTCTTCTTGGTCTTCTTGGTCTTGATGGCACCCTCAGCAATGCTGCCGTGGAGATACCTGGTGGCTTGGCAGCTGCTGTTGCTGCGAATGGTCTGTGTTTTGGCAAAAGCTGTGCTCCTGCAGCATGGACCTGCCTTGCATGGCTCTGCACACAGTCTGGTATGGCCATTTGGCTCCCTAGAATGGAAGTGCAAACAGTCTGGCATGGCCACTTGGCTCCCTGCAAAGGCTTGGCTTCACCCTACGAAGCTTGGGGGTTCTAGAAGAAAGTTGGCGGTTGGAGGACTTGGATGGTGTTGGCTTTGCTTCAGGGCCTGGCTTAGAAATGGCGCTTCGAGCTCTCGGGTTTGGGAGGTTATGCTTTGGGATGTAAGGGTATATTCTTGTGGGTTTAGGGTCCAGGGTTTAGAGTCTCTTAAGGTCAAACTGCACTATGCATTTCCACTTCTATTTCCGACCCTAAACCCAAAATGCTGAGACGTGACGGCATGGCATGGTCCTATGTACACTTGGCTTTCGCACAACACAGCAACTTGCCTGGCATGGCCACAGTGGCTACATGTCCCTCGTATATAGAAACAGGACAAAGCTCTGGATTTTCTGCTCTGGGCCTGCAACTCTGGCTGCTGTGCAGCGAGTTCATGTGGCCTGCATTGACCTCACATATGCGGTCCGTCTTGAAGAGCCTGGGCCTGTGATGGCCATGTTTGGCTTTAGCAATCACGACAAATCCCTGGCATGGCCATGCAGGCTGGGATGTGCATGCACTCGTCGAACTTGGCATGAAGTATAACAAAGCAAGCATGACATGGCCCCTGAAGGCTCACTTGCTCCAGGAGAGTCCTGCTACATGTACTTTTCCTCGCAAACAAGCAGAGTGCATGGAAGTCTGCATCAACTGGTGCGGTACCTTCTATGGAAATCCTTGGGCAGAGCACATTGGCCACCCCATGGCTCGTAGTTGGGGTCC